AGTAACGAAGAAGTTCAAGAGGTCAGGGGTTTTGTTGGGATCTGTTGGCCAGTATGTCGGCGTGCCAGTTGACAAGTGCGAATATTTTTGCTCTTGTAATGTTTTTGATAATTCTCTGCCTTTGGTCATTTTAGGCGAGATCCCCTTAAGGTGTTCTTGCTATTGTAATCTATGCCTGCTACAAATTTGTGTCCCAGCGTTTGAAAGAAATCATTAAAAGTTCTCTTTTTTGATGGTGTGTTTTGGTGGACAGTAAACTGCAGCAACAGTTATCTCGTATTGGGTCATCTTTACTTTTATCACTGTGGCCTGTAGGTGACTTAATTTGTACTTTGGGAGCTCATAATGGTTAACAGCTCTTCCGTCAAGTTTAAGCCTCTTATACTTTCTGTGTCGGGCTTCGCCTTGTCCGATGTTGCGAACATTTTCGTTATCATGATTTTGTATGACTTCCGCTTGTACTTGCATAATTTTGTTATATAGTCATATAGGTACTAAATCAAATCAAAGTCAAAGTCACATTGTGGCGGTCGGTCGCTCAGTCAGTAAGTCTTGGTTTCGAGCCACATCTGGGGCTCATGACCAGATTTTTATTACTGTTTGACAGCTACGGTCTTCATTTTGTATGGCGCCTTCTCTGACGAGAGGACGGTTCTGTCTTTTGTATATGCTGCTGGCCCTTGCCAGCGCAGTCTTTCTTGGGTCCGAGTCCCTTGGGACTCGTGATCATACTTTACTGTCTCAGAATTGAGACTTCCCTTTTCGTCGCCTCTTACGACTAACAGGTTCACGGGATAATTTTCCACTAAATCAAGTGGCTTTCTTTGTCCCCTTACAGCCCGTAAGCACGGACCATGCAGAAAACATAGCTTCTCTAGTGTTAACAATGTTCTTTTACTGATTCGTTGCCTAGCGATGGACGTCCTACTGGAGCGAGCGTTGACTCCCGCTGGAGTGCGTGTACTGAGTCGTTGGCTAGGAATGGGACTATACTTGCTAATACGAAATAATGAATCGGAACTTATGTTAAAGGAAGCGGCCATGACCAAATTCACGGTGTCACTCCGACATGCGAGTATGCCTAGCGGAGGCGAGGAAAACCATGCGAAACTTCAGAATATGTCGGTGTGTTGACCGGGACTCGAAACGGGTAACTCCATAATACAAGTCCAAAGCCTTACTACGTGAGCTGACTTCCTCACTTGTTCATGAGAACAGACGAGAAGGATTTCGGTGAAATCTCTTCTCCTCTGCAAAAACTATTTCTCACGTCCTGAGAATTAATTAGTCTGTTCCCACGTGGTGACGCAATGTCGGAAATTCTGAGCTCACAAATTTTCATACCCCTCAGATGCCTGTATTTTTAGCGACCAATGGAACAAAGATGATTCCAGAAGGATGTCACATCCAATCAGCGTAGCGTTTTGGGAACGCACCCAACTCAGCAACACAAGAGGGCGTGAAAGCGTCCCTTCCACGGAAGACAAAGAAATGAAGTGCTTTCGGCTTTAAGTTTGACAAGCGGAGTTTACCGACGCCTCAGGACTTGCCATACATCTAGTCTGCTTTATGTGTTAGGGGAGAAACTGGCGTGTACAAATAGATCACTCTTAATAACAGAAAACATCTTTCAATTAAAACAATTTTAGTTATAAGATGTTTACAATTTTGAATTGTGGGATAACTAGACGTCTCCTGTGTTTTGAAAGCAGTGGGTCATTGACGTCCCAGGGCTGACACAGACCGCAAATTGCTTTCTCACGTCCAAATAACGCAGGAATGCCGGAAATATTTGTTCTTCATCCGTTACAGGAACTCGCTGTGGGTACTGTTGCTACGTAAAATGTATGAAGCTATCGCTGCAACAGGCCGTGGAGGCCCGTAAGTTTGTGAGACGTCGAGGCTCCCACATTTTTCTAGGCCAATAGATTCATTCACCAATCCAAACGCCGTCTATAATCACTCATACACGTGACAATATTAACCCACGAAGCCTGTGTTTGTTGAAGGTGGTTTTAACCAATCTGAGGTAATAAGTAAACACACTAGCGGTAATCATGTGTCCATTTCTTGCCTCTTCTTATGCACTGATTTTCGTTCTTAATGTAAAATTTTGTTGAAGTGTAGAACAAAGGAGGAAAGCACCTAACACCTTAGCATCTTGTGTAAGGAATGACTAAATACTGTAACGTGTACAGCCGTCGCTATGCAACGACCGCGAGTGAGGCGAATAAACAATGGTCGTTTCTGGGCAGCGGCTCTGAAACATGTTCCCGCGGCAAAGGACACGAACTTGACATTAGAAGAACGATGTTATGTATGTGGTCCATGGCGAGAAGTTATAACCAAGGGCAACTGGAGCAAAGAGTTCAGTTGAGAGTAGTAGCACAGAAACTGAAGAATTTTAATTGTTAAGATCCGTTACCAGAAGACGACTAGCCAAAGCAGACTGAGAAGAATTATCGCGTGCTCTAGGGATTTGTAAAGTGAGTAGATAGCGATAGCGCTACGAGTCGTGTATATAAGTGGTCAATAAATCCATTCACAGATCCGAACCCCGTCTATAGTCACACCCTCATAATACGTGACAATCTACAGCTTTAAACATTGAGGCTGTGTAAACTGCAGAGCAGACATCCAGAAGTACTGTAGAGCCTTGAGCAAAGTCATGATGAGGGGCAGGGAAACACGACAGTCCAAAGTCCATCTAGAACGAAGGACAAGTGTGTGAGGAGAGGCCACGGAAGAATTGCAAATATGCACGCTTGTGCTTCTGGTAGTAGTGAACACTGTATGATGGAGCTACCGCCTTCAACGAGACAAAGAGAGCGCTTGGAGGTATGACTGAATTTCGTGTAATTTTACTGCAGCAGTTTCCAGCCGATCAGAGTGGCCGCGCGATCTAAGGCATGAACTGTCTTCGCTCGCTCGAACAATGGGATCGTGGGTTCGAATCCCACTCGGGGCATGGACGTCTGTATGCGTTTATTCTGTGTTTACGTTGTTCTGTGTGTAAGTAAAAGTCTTGTGAAGAGGCCGATCCCCATTCCAAGGAGTCCTACCGACTGTGTACAAGATTAAGAAAATGGAAAATCGGACAAGGTCCAACAAAAAGACTGTAGAAGCATAGATAGATAGACAGACAATAACCTAAGGAGCCGCGGTAGCTCAGTCGGTATAGCGACGGACTAGACTGCTGGGGTTCAATTCCTGACGAGGGCAACAGATTTTCCTGTACTCCACAGCGTCCAGACCGGCTCTGGGGTCCACCTATCCTCCTATCCAATTGGGTACCGGGGGGGGGGGTTCTTTCTCGGAACGCAAAGCAGCAAGTGCGTGAAGCTGACCACTCACATCCATATAGGGCCGAGGAGAATAATGGTGGAGTTATGACTCCACTCCCCCATACATCTTCATGGCGTAGTGCTTAATTAATTAGGCAAAGGGATAACTTTATGTTATCTATCTTAAAATCATGTGATTGCCTGATATTACTGAATGTTCATAATTTTTTCCAAGAAGCTTACGGAATTTTTATAGGTTTGGCATTAAAAAACGATTTCCTGTTGGACAGGAATTCCGATACACAAACACGCCCTTTAGCAGCGTCTAGGTCATGCGTCTGTTTCACTCCGTCTACTGATATGGAAACTGCAATCACAGCTCAACGTCCACGAGCTGTACTCGGATTTCAGTAGTCCCTGCCGACGCGGAGCGCAGCACAAATGTTCGCGGAAATTACTATAATTAACATATCACTATTCTAGAAATATGAACATCACCTGTGAAGCCACTTCATGGGGCTTGAGCCTCCTTAAATTTTGATAAGGACATCGAATTAGTAGGCTTTTGAAACCATTACTGGTGACTACGTGGAGGCATGCGATAGCGTAGTTGGCTGAGGCATTATTCTACAAGCCAGAAGGTTGCTGGTTCGATTACCGATGAGGCCATTTTATTTTTCAATTGACCTCTAACTCTTCCAGCTGCACTGTGGCCCTGGGGTCGACTCAGCCTCTAACAGAAATGAGCACCAGGAATCTTCATGGGGAGTAAAGGGCGGCCGGCGCGTAAGTCTGACAACGTCACCGCCATCTGTGAGCCGATTGTCTAGAAAATGTGGCAGCCTCGACGTCTCACAACCCTATGGCCCTTCACGGCCTGTTACAGGAATAGCTTTATGTTTTACTAGGAGCTATGTACCTTCCCGTTAGAACTGTTGGATACACTTGCGTCTCAAATTTACTTAGCGACTGTTCAAATTGTGCGGACATCTGAGGTGTAAATCTGCCCATAAAGCCATAACAGGGAACAGCGGACCAGCCATTTGGTCATATCGTTTTTTTATTGCTAGTGGGTTGGGACTAAGTCCCTTGCACTACGGCCACTTCTGGCCTATTGTACCAGCCCCAGATGATAGGTGAGGGTGATTGTGGAGCAGTTGGTGGAATGAAGATTTGCAGAGGAAACCGATGTATTCGGAGAAAACCTGCCCCAGCGCCACTTCGTCCACCACAAATCCCACTTGACCAGACCAGAGATCGAACCCGGGCCGCCGCGGTGGTTAGTCGCTGACTTCCCACCGCGGTGGCCCAGGTTCGATCTCGGGTCTGGTCAAGTGAGATTTGTGGTGGACAAAGTGGCGCTGGGGCAGGTTTTCTCCGAGTACTTCGGTTTCCCCTGCCATTTATCATTCCACCACCTGCTACACATTCATTTATCACATCCGGAGCTGGTACAATAGGCCAAATAATAGCTGCCGAACCAACTGGACTGTCTCACCCCCACAGCAAGAAACAAACTGTCTACTGTTCACAGTCAACTGATGCGAGTACCTGGTCTCGAACAAAAGCAGTTCGTAGGTTTTCTTTCTTTCTGAATTATATAGTTACTAATGTCATGATCCGAAGGTCAACAGCCACGTTATTGGCGTCGATATCAAAGTCCAAAGGACACAGAATCTCGCAAGGACACCCGATGAGAAGTTAGTTCAAGACGAACCCCGTTTATTAACGGTTGTTAAGTCTAGCCGAGAACTTTGCTGTGCTCTGTTTCATACCAATTCAGATTTACACAAATTTCAAATATGGATACAAAGGATTTCTGTCCTGCCGCAGCTACGCGCGCATGATGTGAGAATGTGGCGCTTTTGGTGAATTAAATTGTCTTCTCGTTTAAATGGCGCCGACTTCTTCCAGCTCGCGTAACGACTAGTGTGGACGCTAGTGTTAAGAATTCCTCTGTGACATTTCCTGTGACCACAGTGCCCAATTTTGTACATACAGTGCGTTCAATGATAGAGGAACCTGACAGCAGCGTCATTTCAGCACCTGTTATAAAGCACGGTAAGTTCGTGTTATCTTTTTACAGTATTCCTATAAATGTGTGCATGAGAGTAGCAGCGACACGACTGGACTCTCGCTAGCGGGGAGGGGCACAGCAGTCGCGGAGAAACGTTCCATCCGCTCTACGCTGCTGTCAGGTTTCCTCTACGGTTAAACACTCTATATATGTATGTGCGCATGCGCGCGCGCGTGAAAATATGCTGGAGAAATATTCTTCTGTGTGGTAAAAGGTAAAGTTTCCCCCCATGTTTAACTAATTAAGCGCTACGCCACGAAGACGTATAGGGGAATGGATGTATAGATCCATATATTCTTGGAGGTGAGTGGTCAGCTTTACGCCCTGGCATCTTGAGCCCCGGGGAAACAATCCTCGGTGCACATTGGATGGGATGTTGAGGGGACCACAGAACTGGTCTGGACGATGTGGATAAAAGAAAATTCTTGACGCTACCGGGACTCGAACTCCGACCCCTCGGTCATTCAGCCCGTAGCCCGTAGCCCGTCGCTATACCGACTGAGCTACTCCAGCTCCCCTTCTGTATGGTACGTAATTATTCAGCTAGCAGATGAGCATATTTAGACTGACTGAGTGTGGCTGTAGACGGGGTTTGGATTGGTAATTCCATTTATTGAACGCTTACAGATCGGAACTGCAAGTAACTATAGCGCTATAGCAAATAAACGCACTTTACAGTTCACTACAGCACACATTAAGTCTTCTCAGTTTGCTGTGGTCATCAGTCGTTGCCTGGAAGTGACTACCAACAGAGGACGTTTCCTTTACTCTAAGTTCCTGACGTATCCTCGTCCTCAGCTACCAGTTCCTAATAGCAGCAGCTCACAACAATTGACCCGCAGCAGTTCTGTAACTAACTCGCTCACTCACCAACCAACTTACTCTACTGACTAAGTATCCTCAGTTTGTTTCCGCCAGTCGTCTCCTGGTAACAGATCCTAACAATGCCCTCTGCTTACTTCCTTACCGGCTATCAAATACGTGTATACCACAACTGAATCATTGCTCTGAATAACTGCCAGTCTGGCGGCCATCTCACACCAACCTTCTAGTCTTCTCTTCACTGAGATTAATCGCAGCTCCCAACTTGTCCCGCTCATAATCCCCTCGGCACGGACCGCACAGAAAACATGGCTCCTCATTGTTGTAGTTTAGTTGTTTCCGTGGGAATATTAGTTTGTGATGGCGTTATTCGGTAACGTCTCTTGTACATTTGCTTATCTCATGGTCGTTGCCCAGCAACGGCTCTATATGGTACAATAAATTGAAACGTGATATATTACAATATTCTAAACCGTGTCTAAGTATATTTGAGGGTGCCTCACCATCTCAGGGTGAGGCACATAATTAAATATCATCATTAAAAATTTGTTAGGCTCCATTCCCAGGGCGCGATTGGAACCGCGGACTCCATACGAGAGATCCCGTTAAACAGACGGGATTTTCTTCAGGAGGTTTTGCTGCTCGAAGTGCCGGGAGGTTGGAGAAGACTGCATAACGAGGAGTTTCATAACTTGTACTGCTCGCCAAATATAATTAGAATGATCACATCAAGGAGGATAAGATACGTAGGGCATGTAGCACGAATGGGGAACAGAATGTGTATAGGATTTATAGAAAATTAAACAATTTGGAGGCTGTCCATATATTTCGGAATTTGTAAGTTCGACTGTTATCTCCTGCAATTACCGCACTGAACATTCTGGTGAGTGGCGAGGCAGAGAGGAGCCATATTGTGAAGAGTTAATTAGTCTCTGACCTTCCAAAGGAGACATCGTGAAGGTGGCCCGGATGTGTGGGCGTGTGATGCCCGGCGCCCTGTCGTCGAGGGTGGGCCAGGCATAAGTCAGGACATGATGGCACTTGCTGCACCCTGAGGGCCCGCCTCCTGTCACGAAGTGTGTTACTCGTAACGGTCCACACAGCTCGACGTTCAGCATTGTTACTGGTAACAATGCTTCATTCCTGGGGAGTCCCCAACGAAAAGCTGAAGATATCCATCAATTAGCTTCGTTATGTGTGTCTGTCTGTATGTCACAACTCTAGAATCTTTGGATACAACTTCATTCAATTTTATACACAACATGGTGTTGTTTAAAATTTGTGAAATCAATCAAAAATGTTGTTACATAAGGGGGGTTTGCGTGACGAATAATAATGGGTTCTGGATTTTATGATTGGGTTTATTTACTCTTCTTTACAATTACAGCCAATTACAACACTATCGCTAATCACCAGGACAGGTTCCATTCTCGCCCTTGTGCTCTCAGTTGTTAAATCAAAGTCACATTGCGACTGATAGTAAGTCTTTGTGCCGAGCACCATCTGGGGCTCATGACCACATATTTATTACTGTTTGATACGGTCTTATTTTTGGGCGCCCTCTCTGACGAGATGACGGGTCTGTGTTTTGTATATGCTGCTGGTCCTTGCCAGCGCAGTGTTTCTCGGGTCCGAGTCCCTTGGGACTAGAGACCATATTTTACTGTCTCAGATTTGAGACTTCCCTTTACGTCGCCTCCTACGACTCGCAGGGTTATTCTGGGAGGATCTTTATAGAGCCGCGGCACGGACAACATAAAGAACACAACCTCTGTTGTTCAAACGCCTCTTTTTGGGTTCCCACGTGTTCGCTACCCAGTTAGTTCAGTGGAGAGCTGGCTGTTGTCTAGCAACGGTCCCGTATTGTTGTCACGCGCTTAAGCGGGAAGGTGTTTATCGTTCAGTTGCCTAGCAATGGGTATACACGTTACGTAAATTTTACATGAAGACCAGAGTCAATATAGCTCAGTCGGTACAGCGACTGGCTACGGGCTGGACTGCCGAAGGGCAAGAGTTTGAGTCCCGGTAGTTCCACGGTTTTTCTCCTCTTCACAGCGTCCAGACCGAATGTGGGGCCCACCCAACCTCCTATCTATTAGGTGCAGGGAGCTCGTTCCCGGGGGTAAAGCGGCCGGCGCGTGAAGCTGACCACTCACCTCCAACTAGTTCCAAGGTCAAAACGTGACTCTATNCCCCCCCCCCCCAATAAATTGTCCTGGCGTGGTGCCTCACTAGTTAAGCACAGGAACAACTTTACCTTTTCCTTGTTAAAACTGTTACCGACAAGAACAGTGAGTAGCAACGGTTGCCCCTTCCTCAGCAATATTAGATAAAGTATTCATACAATTCACAGAATGTAATGGCATATATAATACAAAATAATAGGTTATTTTAGATACGCGGATGATATGTTACTAGCGTACAAAATGATAAACTCAAAGACATAAATCTCACTTTACATTAATTTAAAAATCTACCCAAAAATAGAGATCACCATGGAAGAAGATGATCAATTTCATTGACATTACAATCAGAAGAATCGGAAATAACATGACATAGAAGTGCCCACCGATAAGCAACAGCAACAGTAATGTATAACATCTCATGTTACACAATACAACACAAAATGCCACTAACTAACTACATGACTAACAGACTTGACACACACCCTATGAAAAGGGAAGAAAGAAACACAAAAAGTACACAATACGATACATTTTAGAACAAAACCGATACCAAATAAATAACGTCTTAAAATAAAATTGAACAATGGTAATACAACACATCAACACAATTAATAACAAAAACAAGAGAAATGGGCCACATTTACATATTTCGGTAAAGAAATCAGAAAAGTGGTCAACATATTTAAAGACATCAATATAAAAACAGCATGTCAGACTACCAATCCGACACAAGAACACGTGCAAGTAAACCAGTACAGTGACAACAATGGCGTGTATAAACTCAAGTCTTCTACAATATACAGGTGAAACAGGACATTCATTCAAAACACGATTTAACGAATATATGCTTCCAATAAAATAGAATGAAGATACGTCCACCTATGCACCACACGTGGCAGCTAAAAGGGGTAGACATACGTGCATGAATAGCGGCCTCCGTAGTCTAGGGGTAAAGTTCCCACCTCATGACTCAAGGTACGCGGGTTCAAAAACCCGGCGGATGTCGTGGAATTTTTAAGGGCGGAAAAATTCAGGGAACAAGTCCTCCGGGAGGAACTTTAAGCCGTGGGTTCCGTGTCGTAGATTTACGGCATGTAAAAGAACCTCGTGTCTCTAGGAGACCTCTGAGCAAAATTAGGCCAAGTTTCCCGCCCAACTAGTTTCCAATTCCTCCGGTAGATGGGGGAAGTATCAGGTACCACTGCCAGAGGAGGGGGGACCTCTCTGACAGAAAAGGACTAAAGTATTAGATACCACTGCCAAGTAGAGGGTAGAAACCTTGCTGGCAGAAAGGGACTAGGAATCCCTGCCAGAGGAGGGACGACCTCGCTGACAGAAAGGGACTAACTATTAGATACCACTGCCAGTAAGAGGTTGGAACCTCGCTGGCAGAAAGGGACTGATAGTAAGCACCAGTACCGGTAGGGTATGGAGACAGTAGAAATTAAAGGGGGACACACAATGGACCAGTAACCGGTCTAAGTGCATGGGGAAACCCACCCCCTCAATACGGAATACGGAATACGTGCATGAATAATAGAGAAATATCACATCTTTTGTAAGTAAAACAAATAAATGAACGAAGTATTTTTTGATCTCAACAACCCAATCCTTGAGGCAGTATATAACCACAACATTATACAATAACAAAAGCACTTCAATATTCACGCTGTACGTAGATAGCAGCACAATATTATCACAAATCACGTAAACCTCTTCGATCGCCCGCAACATCAGTACTACACAAGCAGCACGCACCTTGAACACATCAAAATATAAACAAGGTAAGGAAGTCAACTATTTTTATTATTGCTAGTGGGGTGGGACTAAGTCCCTTGTACTGCGGCCACTTCTGGCCTAATGTACCGGCCCCAGATGATAGGTGAGGGTGATTGTGGAGCAATTGGTGGAATGAAGATTGGCAGGGGAAACCGAAGTACTGGGAGAAAACTTGCCCCAGCGCCACTTTGTCCACC